CCAAAATCCCAATATCGTGCATCCCTAAAATTATTTTTTGCATTTTTGATTAAATGCAGAAAATCTGAACCCTCCTACTCCACTCCACTTTCCAGCTAATGGAAAGTCTTTCAACAAGGCAATGGCTGTTATATTTAAATGTTAATCTAATTAAAGTTTAGACACACACAGTTAAGATGAATTACAAACACAAGCTTTGTAGGCTCAATAACCATCAAACCGTTTCTAATTTCCCTGTGAGATGTTTTTATAAGATCCAAATAGTACATACAAACAAGTATTAACATGTCTTACACTTAGACAACTTTTATTGTTGCTGAAAATTCGTTTTGAACAGCTTTCATGACATTTCCATTTCTCAAAGTGCAGCAGTGATCAAATGTAAACAGCATGGGAGAAAAACATGGTGCAAAAAAAAACACACTGATAAGGAAGTTCAGAGCATTAATATATATGGTGCAATGATGCAGTGTTTTGGTTTGGTGTTATCAGTGTGATGCAAAGTCTGTGACTTGTTTTAGAGTTTTCTCAACAGTTCAGCCGTCTGATGGTGGTGCGGAAGAAGCTGTTTCGGAATCTGCTAGACCTGCATCAAATCCCAGAAGGCAGCAGGGAGAACATTCCATGGAGTCTATGGTTCAGGATGAAATGTCTTTTATGGAGGGAAGAGGAGCCCTGATGATCCTCTCTGCTGTTCTCACCACTCTTCTCACCTTCTTCCAGTCTGAGGCGCTGCAGCCTCCACAGCTCACAGTGAGACAGCTGCTCAGAACGCTCTCTATGGAGCTTCTGTAGAAGGTGGTGAGGATGGGTGGGGGCTGCCATCACTGATGTGCTAGTATGGGGGGGCAAGGGTGCCTTTAAGCACTATCTTTCAAAAAAGAAAACATAATTTGGTCAAAGAGTATTATGGGTTTCTCCAGGGCAGCCTCTTTTCCACGGTCCTGCTTCTGGTATTCAAAGACAGGGCATACTTGTGATGTTCAGTTTGGGAACCTTTACCGTTCTTTTAGAATTGGTTCGATTAATATTTTCAGACCATAATCCTCTGTGACTTAGCAAAGAGAGAAGTGTCAAGGATAAGATGCCTCTGACTCTAAGGCATTGGTTATCTATAAAAAACAAAGAAACCCCAATGATTGTACCCTTGAGTTGGAGTCGACCTTTTCTTCAACAACTTTTTGAGCAGTGTTTACCTTTGACATCAACTTCAGGTGGTTTTGGATGTTTTTCTTGTTTCCTTTGTTAACATTGATGCTGCCCATCCAACAAACCTTATGTGGAATTTTCTTTTGTGTCCAGATCATCAGAGTTTTGGTACAGTCCAACAAAACCTCTTCCCCCCCCCCCCTATCTTCAGCAAAAGTGGTCACAGGTGCATGCAGCTGATTTGGAGGTGGCCTTGTAGCTCTAAAAATACAGGATTGGAGAAAATGAGAAGCTCTGAAGAAGTCCACAAGTGAATATGAATAAGCTCCACTTAAGTTGATTGTTTTTGCAAATAGATGGACAAACCACCTGCTACCTGGAGTGTCCTCATTAGTAGTCCACCCCTGTGGAATATGGACTCATTATAAATATACCTGCACAATTTAGTGCTTGGATGTCAATTACAGAACAGTATTGAAAGAATAATTGATAATGCTGAGGGAGATGTTAGAAATATGGTTGTTGAAGTCTCCCTTTATGCTTTCGACATCCCTTGAAGTGCTGATTTATCCACTGGCTGAAAAATAGAAATAATGTTGCAAAGAAGTACAATTACAAATATATTATCATTCAGCTATAGGAAGTGGCCAATAATAAACCTGCAATAATTAGATAAGCAGCCCCCCCTTAGGAAAAAGTAGTATACTTGAAGTAAATTCTATTAAGTATAAGTTTAGAAAGTATACCGAACAATGTACTTTCAGTGTACTTGAAGTATTACTAAAGTAATACTTCTTCGAACTAAATTGGGACATTTTTTAGTTTACAAAAGTATACTTAAAGTATACTTTAGTAAACAATAAAGTAAACAATAGTATAGTCAAGTACACTTGACTATACTATTGTTAAGTATCTGAAATATAGTTTAGAATAAGTAAACTCTAAGTGCACTGCCTGATTTTAAGTATAAAATTAGTGCACTTTAAGTATACTTGAATAAACTACTTTTAAATCCACCACTCAGGTGAAGGAATCTGCCACAAGCTTTGGTCATATGTGACCAAAATTGATACTGCTTGGCTGACATGCAAAATGCTGGACACACTGAACACCTGCCCCACAGTTTAACATGGTGGTGGCTGCATCATGCTGTGCAACTGCTTTCCTTCAACACTGTCAGATGGAGGAACGACTGGAATTAACTTAATTTTTAGATAATATCTGTCGCTGGAGACTGTACACTTTTCAGATTTTTGTTTTCAAAAGGTTTTGAAAACACATTTAATTTGCATTTAATATTTTTTATATGCACTTCTTGGTGTTTGACTAATATACACAGGAAGCCAGCTTTGGTCAGTGTGAGGGGCTTTACTTCCTGCCACTGAACTGTACACATGTAGACCCATTGTTGGCAGTGACTATTACTGATTATAATATTTAAAAAAAATTATATCTCCCATCATATCTTGAGTTATACAGATTACAGTCATGTTTGTACATTTTCAACGTGCTGTAAAAAAAAAATAAATAAGAGAATTTCGACTCTTAAACTGAAGGTGTGCAGTCCAATGCTGACTGGCTCCCTCTAGTGGTGGGCGTTGGAAACTAACCATTAAATAGATACAAAGAATTTAGTAAAATAATTCGTTTTCTATTGATTGACATAAAACATACGTCTTTAAAAGTATGATAATCTAAAAACAGATTTAAACATGGTCTATTGCGCGTGCGTGGGACGGGTGACTGTGGGCGCGCTTTAAATGTCTGCCAAGCGCGCGACCGAGCTGTTGCGAGGGGCGATCAGATCGGGGCCGCGCGCAGCAAAGCGGATGACCACCGTGGAGCTGTCACGTCACGGATCCGCAGCGAGATGCTGTGGTGACAAGCAGAAGAGGGAACGACACGACCCCCTTTTCTCCCCCAGACGACCATCTCCTCCTCTCCGGTTCTTCATCTGACGCATCCTCCCTCCTCTCCCTATGGACGGGGCGCACGTCATGGCATTCCTCTCCACGTCGTCCCCGCCGCTTCAAAAGCTTGAGGATATTTTGTAACCACACCCGGCTCTTCTTCGGATCAAACACTGCCTGAGGTAAGGTCCTTCCACCTCTCTGCTGTTATTCCCGGTCTGCTTCTCTGTAAAAGGCCGCTCGTCAGCTTTTACGCGCAGGATGTCTCCTCCACGGCGCCACGCCGGGCATTACAGCCTCATCAACGCTGTAGGCTGGATGAGTTTGCGTGGCCTGTGGACGCGCCTGTGTAAATCTGCTGTGGCAACCAGACTCGCTGTGCAACAGCTCCTCATAATAAAGCAGAGCGGATCTTTGCAGAGAATATTTCCACGCAGCGGGATGAGAAATGGCGCTTTGCTTCCACGGCTGGTCATTAAATACAAACCCAAACCACTAAAATAGTCATTTTACTCACTGTTGGTAAATCAATCGGTGTGTTAGAGGCTGTTTAGATGCCCTTTAAGCGCAGGTTTAGGTCTGACCCTCCAGAGCCGGCCCAAGGTGCTGGGAGGCCTGAGGGCAAATCCCCCCCCACCCTCAAATTTAAAAGAACCAGTCAGACTTTCCTACAAACAATCAAACCATATTAAACAATTATGTAAAAGTAAATAAGATATATGTGTTTATATGATATTATTGTTTTCAATCACTTATCGGTATTAAAAACATAACCTGGTCATTTTTGTAGATCTGAATTAGTTATTAAACCTTTTTACCTTTTGAAATAAGAGACAGGAAGATTATTCAACATGTGCACCAGAGAAAAAGCCAACAGCACATTATTTATGATTCAACATTGCTATTAGTTTTGCTCTGATATTCATTAGTCAAATTTTAAAACTGCCCAAAATTAAATGATGTCCGTATGTAAGGTAGACGCTGTAAAAAGATGCTCTAAGCTGTTTTAAAGGGTAAAAAGGGTTTTATTTTCAGTTAACAATGCAGGTAACATGTTTTTGATAGCAGTAAATGAGTAAAAAAGGTTTTTTTTCAATATCTGTATTTTTCTTTTTTTTATTATTTTGGTCGATTGCTATTTTCCACTTCAAGAAAAAGAACTGATCATGAAGCAAAAACCAAACTACCAAAAAGTTTCAGGTTGAAGCAAAGATTATTTTACCCAGTTATATATTATAACACATTTAACAGAAAGAAAACTAAGCAATACTTTTGTAATTTTTGTTATTTTTCAAATTTTGCACGATACATTTTATAAACAGCAAAATAAGCATAAAAAAACAAAACATCGTTATTGAACTTTCTATTAAGTGATAATTTAATTCCTCCAATTAACTCTATGCAGTTCAAATACACCTTTTTTTATTTTATACTTATTTTGACTGATCTGAAAATCTGAAACTACTGGATACTTATGCTTCAATCTAAGTAGATGGTGATCAAACTGCTTCAGGTGAAAAGCCTCATATTGTTTTGGTAGATACTGCTGAGCATCAGCTGAAAGTTTGGGTGAGAAAAACTCAACCATTCTGGACTTTTGCAAGTATCAATGATTTTCCAAGCAGGAAATTTGCAAGCTACTCATTGCATTTCCCTCTGGAGGTCTTGTCTTTAAAAAAAAAATTCCAGGCATTGTTATAAAGTGCGAGCTAAAGCTTGGATTTTAAAATATCTCCTTACAACAGAACCCCTGTTTTCTGTTTAATCACTTCCAAATAACTCCCAAGGACACATGCCTCTAGTGACAGTGCTCATAACATTTTTGTTTTCTTCATACATGTTCATGCTTATTCCAGCTTTCTTCTAATGTCCACATAAGCGACTCCATCTGCTGCGGTAACGGACGACTGAACATGAGTTTTCCAAACACTCCTCTGATGATAAACTGTAATTCCGTTTCTTCTCCTTGCAGCGGTAAATATTTTATTTGAAAAATAACCCATAATTCGCTGTACCTGAAAAGAAAAATCTTTAATAATTGTAACATTTAAGATGATATCACTGTTTTACATTAAAAAAAAGGATAGACAACATCATTTAAAAGCTTTCTGCAAATTTAGCACACTATAATTGAACCCCTTTAAATAAATGTTTAGTTAAAAACTCTAGATTCTGTCTTTTTTGGTGGGTTGACATTTTTTAGGGTTATTGTCAGTCAACCTGTTTACTGATGCACAACCTGCAGACTGGAGGGTTGCATGAGGGCTCTCTACAGAAATAAAGCAGTCACCTTGAACACAAAGGTTAAAATAAAAACATCATATTTCTATTTAGCCATAGGCTGCGCTACTGTACAGGGTGTACCACCCTCTCAACCAATGACAGCCGGAGATGGACACCAGAACCCGCCCCTCAGACACTGCCTAGATTGAATGAATACAGCTAATTTATTTATACACGAGTACCTATGGGAATGAAATACAAATATATTAACCAGTTAGAGTTTAAAAGGTAATCACTATCATCTGCTTTTTTTTTTTATTTGCTTCAACTTTGTTTTCCCCCGTTGACCCCATCACAGCACAGAGGTCATTAGAGTCAAACTGAGGCTCACACCCGTTCTGCTAATCCCCTTTGCAAATAAAGTGCAACTTAAAAAAGGTTTCCTTCAAATATGTGAAACCCTTAAAAAAAGCTCCTTCATCCTAATGTTGCACAGCGATCGCCTGGATTCTCTGTTTGTGCTGTGATACAGGCTGAGTGAACAGATGTTGTATTTTTTTGTTTTTTTTTCTTTCAGTTTCCTTCAAAGAAACTTGGCATCTGATAAACTCCTGCTTTAGTATCTAGTTGTGTTTTTTTAGTGTCACTTTACTGTCAGTTAGAAATGGAAAACATGAACTAATAGTATCTCTAGGCAAACAGTCATTTAGTTTTTTCTTTGCATGACCGTTGAGCTAAACATGAATGTAGGATTGATAGCTATGTTTCTTACAATAAAGACCTTATTTTTGACCTCAAAACTCAATTTTTTTCGTAGCATTTTCTCATCTCACTGGTCAAAAAAAGATGACATTGGATCTTAAACTCTATTTTTTTTTTTTATTCATTATCGATCTTGTGAACTCCCATATAGAATATACCAAAATAATGATTTCTAATTGATATATTTAGAGAGAAATCATGATTGGACTATAAAGAGATTTTAAAGCTACGATTTTTACCCCCCTTTTTTATGGTGCGTTCCATTTGCAATGTTTAGGTTCCAGTTTTCTGCTGATATTCCTCGTTTTTTATATACATGAGAACAGCTCCGCTCTCTTTTATAACATGTTCATGCAGGCTGTGTATAAATATAAGAAGGCCATGCCAGCACACCTGTCTACGATTTAGTTTATTACCACATTTATTAAGCAACACAGGAACAATGTTATTTTGACAAAAAAAGTAGAAATTCAGCTGCTGATGGGGTTGGTGGCTTTGTCCATCTTTTAAAATGTGCTCAGTTTTTGGAAATATAATTAAAAATTTTTCATCATCCAAGTACTTTAGGCAATGTATGTCTGAACTGCAAAAGCAATCTTAAAATGGGTAAAAAAAAATCTTAAAATAAGTGTATTTACCCTTAATCTGCTGATGGAATGAGTATGTTTAGCCTTAAAATAAGGTCATTAGATATTATGCACTTGAAATAAGAGAGAGCAGTTATTTTTT